TCTTTATTCAATCTTCAACAGAACAACACAAAATGGCACAGATCCCTTTTATACCCCCTTGCAGGGAGCAGCATCAACCAATCAATGCAACGTATCTTTCCCGCCTTGCACATGCGCAATAGGCTGGAGACAGCCTGTCTGGCCCAGGCAGCCTCATGGTCTGCCTGGGACTCTCTGCAGCTTCCTGCACCTGCTGTGTCAATCACAGCCCAGGACATAACAAAGATGATCTCTATATTAGAGATTGTAGCAAGTATAGAATATGTAAGCATACTTGGAGTAAAAGTGGGCTTTGATTATGCTTGTGGTGTATGATATTGCTTGTGGAGTGGAACTGACAGATCCACACAGGGAAGTAAAAATGTAGGCTTAGCTATCAATGAAAGAGCTAAATGTGTGTCAGAAGCTATGAATTGATGCATGAAAGTAGGATCCATAGATTGGTGATAATTACAGTACATGATGATAAAAGAAAACTTGATATGACTTTTGGAAAACATGATGAGACACTTTGAATCTTTATAACCTGGATGGAGGAGGCAGAATGTTCTATCAGGAAATGTTGATACTGGTAAGATAGAGATGAGAAAGTTCCAAAAATCATTCATTTAGAGCCCCAAGAAGACATGAAAATGGTATCTGTTTAGGAAAGTGTTTGTTTTCAATAATTGGATTAAGCATGTCTATTCATATATACAAATCACAAAATATGCTTTTCATACATGTACATGCACTGCAAAAGGATATCTGCCAAACTTTCTGTCAAGTACCTGCTTTAGTTTATACTTAGCAAAACTGTTTAGCTTTTTGTTTATTTAGAAGTTTGAAATATTTCAGTCCTGCTTTCTACAGGACTGAAACTCATTGAATGAGTTTCATCCAATGCAAACAACAACAACAACAACAACAACAACAACAACAACAACAATAATAATGTTGGAAGGGACCTTGGAGATTATCTAGTGCAATCCCCTGCTCAGGCAGGAAACCCTATACTATTTCAGACAAATGGCTGTCCAGTCTCTTCTTTAAAACTTCCAGTGTTGGAGCATTCACAGCTTCTGGAGGCAGGTTGTTCCACTGGTTAATTGTTCTAACTGTCAGGAAATTTCTCCTTAGTTCTAGGTTGCTTCTCTCTTTGGTTATTTTCCATCTGTTCCTTCTTGTCGTGCCTTCAGGTGCTTTGGAGAATAGCTTGAGTCCCTCTTCTTTGTGGCAGCCCCTGAGATATTGGAACACTGCTATCATGTCACCCCTCGTCCTTCTCTTCATTAGACTAGACATACCCAATTCCAGCAACTGTTCCTTATATGTTTTAGCCTCCAGTCCCCTGATCATCTTTGTTGCTCTTCTCTGTACTCTTTCTAGAGTCTCAACATCTTTTTTACATTATGGTGACCAAAACTGGATGCAGTATTCCAAGTGTGGCCTTACCAAGGCATTGTAAAGTGGTATTAACACTTCACGTGATCTTGATTCTATCCCTCTGTTAATGCAGCCTAGCACTGTGTTGGCTTTTTTGGCAGCTGCAGCACACTGCTGGTTCATATTTAAGTGATTATCCACTAGGACTCCAAGATCCTTCTCACAGTTGCTACTATTGAGCAAGATATCACCTATATTATATGTGATGACCCAGGGCACAGCACAGAGGCAATGCAGTCAGCTGGCAATTCAAACAGTTCTTTTATTGCTCCAAATTTTCCCCAATTGCTCCCACGTTTGCTGGCAAGCCTCCAACAAAATAATACACACACCCCTTCAGCCAACTCTGGCTGAAAGTAGGTTCAAATACAGTCTGATTAGCATAAGAAAGTACTCAAGGCCATAGAGATAACAAGGAAGAAAACATAAACTTAATGAATCTGTTTGAATCCTAGCTTGCCTGAGCAGTTTTCAAAAAAGAGAATCTGAAATACAGTCCGATAGTCAAAGTTTCCAGGTTTCCAAACAGAAGTCACAGAACAAGAGATCAGCAACAATACACAACACTCCAAGGAATCAATGTTTGTTCCAGACAAAAGCCCCTCCCCACAGCGTCTCCTTAAATCTCAATCTCCAGGTGTTCCTTGTGGAGAAGGGCAGGACGCTCTCCTCCCAAGTAATTGAGCCTGCCTGCATTGTTCCTTCCTTCTCTCCACTCTCTGTGCTCTAGGATCAGGTGGTGGTGGCCCTTGCTCATCACCTGAACTCTGCCTCTCCTGTTGCTCCTGTTCCAATCCTGAAGGGCCCTGGCCTGCCTTGGACTGTTCTTCCCCACATTCCTCTGAAGCAGACACCTCTCCCTCTGCCTCCATAGAGCCCAGTTCCAGTTCATTTTCCTCCACAGATTCAGACTCCGACAGAGGCATGACACTATACCTGTGCATTTGTTTTTTCTTGCCTAAATGTAGAACCGTACTTTTTTCACCATTGAATTTCATTTTGTTAGATAGCGCCCAGTGTTCAAGTCTGTCCAGATCCTTCTGTATCTTAAGCCTATCTTCTGGAGTGTTAGCTATTCCTGCCAGCTTGGTGTCGTCTGCAAATTTGATGAGTTCCCCATCTATCCCCTTATCCAAATCATTGATGAAGATGTTGAAGAGCATTGGGCCCAGAACAGAGCCCTGGGGCACCCCACTACACACTTCTCTCCATGTAGATGCAGTTCCATTGAGGACCACACACTGAGTACAGCTAGTCAGCCAGCTACAAATCCATCTGGTGGTGATGCTGCCTAACCCACATTTTTCTATCTTATCAAGTAGTAGCTTGTGGTCTACTTTATCAAATGCCTTACTGAAGTCCAAGTAAATTATATTCACAGCATTCCTCTGGTCCACTAATTTTGTCATCTGGTCAAAGATTTTTCTGTTTTTGACAAACCCATGTTGGCTTTTGGTAATGACTTTGTTTGCCTCTAGGTGTTCACTGATTCATTGCTTGATTATCTTTTCCAAGATCTTCCCAGGTATTGAGGTCAGACTGATAGGTCTGTGGTTTCCTGGATCTATTTTTTTCCTTTTTTGAAGATGGGAACTACTTCAGCTCTTTTCCAGTCCTCTGGTAGCTCCCCTGTGCTCCAGGATCTTTGAAAGATATAGTTCAGTGGTTCTGAGATCACATCTGCCAGTTCCTTCAGAACCTTGGTGTATAGTTCACCTGGTCCTGGTGATTTGAACTCATCTAGGGTGGACAGGTGCTCACTTACCATTTTCTTTCTTGTGTTTTTAATCTGTTTTTTACGGTACTGTTTTTGTTAGGTTGCATTGTTTTTTCCCTTTGTGTAAATACAAATTAAAAAAAACAACTTGAGTAGTTCTGCTTTCTCCCTATTATTTGTCACCTTCTTTCCACTTTCTCCTACCAATGGACCAATCATTTCCTTAACTTTTTTCTAGTTTTTTACATGTTGAAAGAAGCTTTTTTTTGTTATTTTTGACTTTTGTTGCAAGCCTTAGTTCATTTTGAGCCTTAGCTTTCCTCACTTCATCTTTTCAGGCTCGGGCTATTTGCTGATATTCTGCCTTAGTTATGTGCCTCTCTTTCTACTTTTTATACTTGTCCTTTTTGTCTTTCAATTTATCAGAAAGTTCTTTATGCAGCCATGCTGGTTTCTTTTGAGAGCTGTTATTTTTCTTCTTCATTGGTATTGTGCTAGATAATGTGCTATTATCTCACTTTTCAAAATTTCCCAAGCTTCTTGAGTTGTTTTCCCCTTGAGGATTCTCATCCATGGAATCCTTCTCAAGCTCTCTCTAAGTTTGTTGAAATTAGCTCTCTTAAAGTCCAAGACTCTAGTTTGACTGTGTTCTATTGCTTGTGCTTGCATAATGTTGAATTCCAATATTGCATGATCACTCCACCCCCAAATGTGGAAGATTTCAGTTATAATCTAGAATGGGTTATTTCTCCCCACCCATGAAAACAAGAATATCAATAAACTAAGAAAACAAAGGATTTTAAGCAAAAGAAATAGCCCAACTGTGGACCTTGAAACAAGCAGCAATTCTTTAGATCTTTGAAAATTAAATTGAGATGTTTGTTAGGATGCTTATTTCCTGAGTGAAACTTCAGTAAAGTTGTTGTTTTTTCTCCCCTCTTTACACTTAGGCTTAGGAAGAAAGCAGAACAAAACCTAGTAATATGAATAGAAGGAATGTTTTCTCTAAGCCTGACTTTAGCACCTTGCCAGTGGTCTAGTTTCTGCCAGTGGAAAAGCAGACTGTCTGCAACCCTTGCAGACCCATAGCACTGCAAAAGGCACCCACAATTCAGCTCTCAAAACTGACTATCATAGGAATAACAGCTGATTTGACCTGCTACAAAGCCTGATAAGATGCTCTTAGTTTTATGACCATAACAACAGAGAAAATGCTTTTAAAAAGCACAATTACTTTAAACATGATAATGATATGTAATTAAGAGAAATCTCCCTTTAAAACAGTCGAAAACATACAGATGCATCTTTGGTAAACTCATACACCTATAAAAAATATCAGAATTTACTTGGCCTAGGTGTGTAAAAGTGTGCTCGTTCAGAAAAATAAGGAGAATCCTGATTGTATCACTCCAAGAATTAAATAATAAAGGTTCCAGTAACAATTGATGTTTAAGTTAAACAAGATAAAAAAAAACAGAAATGTATGAAATAGAATGTTACACATTCTTTTTTAAAAATCTTTCTTAGTCACACAAATTTTGGCTCTTTAGATAAAATGGGTCCAGGATCAATGACAGATCTGGCTAGGCTTGGTAACACATAGTATATTAAACCGATATTTAAATAGACATTATTTCAGAACAATTGTTTTTCTTTATCTAAATGTAGCATCAGGAGAGTTTTCCCCCTCGTGCTGATTTTTTTCCAATATCATTTAATTGTAACACCATCACAAAGAACCATTCAACTTGGAGGATTTCATTACAGTATTGTTGATTTTTCTAATTTCTGTATTTTAAAAAAAATTATGTAGCTCTCTTCACAATTGTATTCTTTTATTTTAAATAAAAGCATTGAAATGATCTACATTCTGGCAATGTTGGTAAACATATTTTTACTATTTGCTAAGCTATCTTTCTTCACTGAATTTCACTAAACTCTTCATTATTGTTTTTTTTTGTAGCACAAATGTTGTGGCATATTTAATGGAAAATCAGATTGGGGAAAAAACGCTTATGCTAACAGTGGATGTGAATGTGAACAGACAGACATAGGTACAAGTTATTGTGCTGGAAACGAGTATGTGAAGGTAAGAAAAAAAATTGCATGAGTACATCAGTGACTATTAGGCATAGTGGCCATTTGTGGCTTCCAGATTTATATATCATGGAATCATTCTAGGGAACAATAATTCAGGTTGGTTATCAGGCATTGATTGGATGTTTATACTATTGCCCTATTCTTCATCCAGGAAGCATCCTGGTTAGGGAAAAGCTAATGAAAACCATAATTATTATAACTTGCATTTCCATTACTACCTTGTTCTTTGGTTGTTTCTGATGCCTTCGAATCAATCTTAATTCCTATCAATTACCTGGACAAGTCCCTGCAGTTCTCTTGGCAAAACTTCAGAAGTGTTTTGCTATTGCTTCCTTCCTTCGGCTGAGAGAAAGTGATTGGCCTAAGGTCATCCAGATGTTTTCATCCCTAAGGTAGAACTAGAATTCATGATCTCCTGGTTTCTAGTCAGTGGTTTTAAATAGTGCTATATTATACCAAAATGGGTACAGTATTTATTTTTTAGGATCCTTCCTTTAAGCACTGGGCCAAGATATGTGAATCATTTATAGAGTTTGTTATGTGTTATGTGAATTACTGATTCCAGAAATAATATATGTTTGTAGCTTTTTAAACAGCTGATACTTTCTAATGTTAGACATCAGAGTCACTTGATGGATAGGCAGTCATATAAAATGAACAAATGAACACATGAATGAATGTATACTTTAGTGAGTGGATTCTTTAATACTGACACATCTTTTCTTCAGGTTTACACCAAACATGGTGAAAGTTGGACTACTTTAATAAATAGCAGTGAGAGGTTGTGTTCTCTCTTGTGTAATATCCAAAGTATTTCTCTCAAATTTTGGGACATGCATGTTGTTCTTTTATATTCCAGAATAAGTACAAATACATCAAAGTGTTCCTTTATATAATGATGCACAATCTACTGTCTAACAATGCATTGATAAAGCTTGTAAAAGAATGCATGATGGATTGATGAAGGATTGTGAAAATGATCACACTGAAAATAATTGAGAGACAACTTAGACTAATATTCATATGACTTAATAGTTATCACAATTGGCAGCTCTTATCAAATTCTGTAGGTCAACTTATTTTTATGTATTTTTCACATTTCTTCCACATAAAATATGGAATTCATAGAAAATTCACATGTGGCTCAGTCATTCATTAGCCTTAGTGCTCGGATTTTAAAAGAGCTGTTTCATCTGATTGATTTTCTAAACCTGGATGAAACCAATTATCAAAACTGTTTTGTTTCTTAAATCTTGCTATTGTAATACTTATCAAAAACAATTAATATCTTATTTATTTATTCAATTATCCACTTTTTTCATTAGAAATATAAAAATCTCACAGCCGATCTTGAAAGTTTTAAAAAAATGAAGATATATTATTCATTTCTCCTTTGCCTTTTGATACCAGCAAAATTTGTAACATGGCTATTAAGTTATAAATAGCTTATGCATGTGTGACTTATGTCATTTGTCTTTGCCTTTCTTTTAGACTTGTGCAACTGTAATTATGGAAATATTCCAGAAAAATATGATTATAGTTATGGGGATAGCATTTGGACTGGCATTTATTGAGGTATACTAATAAAATCTTATTTCAACCTGTTATCATATTGCAAGCTATCATTTACACTGATCAAGTCACTTGTTAAAGCATGAGCACATATCAACAGTATTGATAGTGATTTGATGAAGAATATTTCTGCATGTTCAGAAATGGGCTGCTACCAGGTTGCCACCTTCCATGTTTTCGATTCAAAAGTCCTACCAATTTTTGTGGGGGGGATGAAGTTAACACAAATTTAGAACATAAAAGATTGAACCCACTGAATAAATAGAGTCACCTCTATTGTTAACGGTTTAACAGTTAATAGTTAGCTCTGCAGATAACAGTTGCTTGGACTTCTGAGCTTCCCATTGTAAATGTTTGGCAACTTATTACTATCACACACTCTTTTGTAAGGGTAAAGTCTTCATTGGGTGAGACAAGAATTTATATTGAGGGAGGCTGCTTTTTCTTTTCCTCTTTGGTTTGCTATTACTGTGTAGGGCGTTCGATAGAGATTTCATGTTTTCTATCTCAAAATAATGAGAAATTGTTTTCAAGAGTAGTAGTGAGAGAAGGCTTCACAAAGGCTGGAGAATAGAAGCTTGAAGCTGTATGTGGTCCTAAAACACAGATTATTTACTTCTCCTACAGCTGATGTACACTAGCCATGCTGTCCTATAGCTAGTTCTTTTAGAGTGAATTCCAATTACCTTATTTGTGGAACAGTGAAGCAGACTTCCCTTAATGACTGCCTCTTTTTATGTAGTCTTGTTGTTTAGTGTTTGCTTCAACTATTGATTACAAAACTGTAGTCGAAGTTCTGATTTTTCAATTTTAAAGCTACCAAGTGTTTATGAAGAGCTAAAAAAATAATTCAATTTTAAAACTCCAGTGAAAAAGTCCATTTGATAGTCAGTTTAAATTTTACTTAAAGCAGCGCATATATGAATGTGCTCCAATATCTACTTTAATTTGTTATTAATTTTTGTTAAACTGAAGTGACCAGTTATCTAGAACAGCAAATCCCCACATTTATAACAGTTCCACAAAAATCCAAATTACAGATATTGTGGCACCATCGAGACAAACCATTAAAAAAAATCTTTCTATAATATTCCTTCCATGGGAATATATTCCATGGCTTTGATGTAGTGAACATAATTCCATGAAAATTTATGCAAGAAAACATTAGTTATTCAATTATGCAAGATTGTTGTTTTGCTATAATTTATTATAGAAGTGCAAATAACTCATATCTTTATGAGTAAGGTTTCTAAGAATACTAATGTTGACAAGAAGCAGTATGAAAAATCTTTTCAGCTCTCAAGAAATCTGATCTCTTTCCCAAAAATGTTGCAATACAAAGCACAAGTAAGAATCTCACAACTTGTCTTCACCCTTTAAAACAATCTATCTTTCAGAATAAGTTGAGGTTTCCTATGCTGTGATATACATGGGTTTCATTAAAATCCCACTATCTGAAAGTCATATCTCTAAATGGTGTTGGAAGCAATCTTTAACATAACAGATCCATTAGTACATGCAAAACCCAAGAATTTTACAAAATGTTCTTGCTGTGTACTGAACTGTTACTGAAGTTGCCAAACGATGCATCTTAAACATCTTTCTTCTTTTTCAGATTGTTGGCATGGTTTTTTCAATGAGCCTTTACTGCCAGATCCAGAAAAAATGAAACCATGGAAATCATCAGCCAAATGAGAAAGCTTTGTAGATTGAGAATCAGATCTGTAGTTGGATTTTATTTTATTTTTTAAAAAAGCACCACATACAATTTGTGTTTGGGGTGGTGTAATTTGCAACCTATTTGACTATTAAAAAAAAAAGCACTTGCTCTATATTGTGCTGACCCAATACATTGTTTTCCACTCATCTGTTTTCTGAATTAAAGTTGAAGCTTACTTAACCCATTTCAACTAACAAAGTTATTTGCTTTATATATGTGCACACCCACACATAAACATATCCCCCCAAAAAAAATTCTTACTTCCCAACTATGCATGCAGACTTGTATAATATTGTTCCCTTTAACATTGGTGAAATGCTGTGAAATGAAACCTACCTGCTCTTTGAACAAATTGATTTATCAATCTGTCCAATCAGTCCAATTGTCCTAGATTATCTACATGACTAGAGGCTAGCTTGAGGGCGGCAAGAAAACTTTTAACAATAACTTCTGAAGAGTTGGAGCAGGCAGTCTCTAAAAAATGGGCTTTATGGTTGTTTTTCCTTACTATATAGTCTCTATAGCTGTTAGAATTAAATGGTACTTTTTCTGCAGAATGGAAGTATAGAATTATAGACTTAATTATCTGAAGAGAAATCAAGACTTCATTTTTTGGCATTATTTCACAACTTAGGAGTAGCCATTTAAGAAGCATAGCTTTTATTTATAAAATTTATTGGCCACCCATCTTACCACAGGGGTAACTCTGGATGGCTTACAATCATAAAAATCTGTCTCTCTGTCCGTCCGTCCATCCGTCCGTCCGTCCATCCATCCATCTTTATCTATCTATCTATCTATCTATCTATCTATCTATCTATCTATCTATCTATCTATCTATCTATCTATCTATCTATCTATCTATCTATCTATCTATCTATCTATCTATCTTAAAACATAAATAAGTTAAAACCAACCATTAAATGTTATGCTATGCTGAGCTAATTTTACCACTGTTCAGCCATTTGGATAACCTGCCTTTTCAATAATGAACATATAACATGTTACATCCAGGAAAAATAGAGGCACTCATAGGCATATGTACAATTATAGAAACATTTACATATCCATGTTTACATACTATGTATATCTATAACTAGGCAGGCAGTAAAGAAGATTCCTACATTGCGGATGCTAAAATCACTCTTTCTTCTTTGCTTTGTTGCCAGTTACACTTTCATTCTTTGAATGCATGGATATAAGTTAGAAAACATATGTCCAAGGTCTTCAGATGTAAATTGAGCTTTGAGAGAAAACTGCTAAAACATGTATAATTTTGTGCACTAATATGAGTTCTTCAGAATTCAAAGCGCTTCTCATTAATATTTATGAGGATTAATATTTATCGCCCACTACCCTTACATGCTTACAGTTGTCCAAAAACTGATTGTGCTAACTTCAAAGTAGCCCTTGAAAGGAGACTGTTTTCTGATCTGTAAACATTTCTGGAATATAATTAAGGGTTTCACATCACCAAATTTCACAGTTTTATATAAAATTTGTAAATCTGATCTTTGTGATTGCTATGAAATATACTGTATATTATTCAGTTTTACTCAATTTCTTAACAATCTATCTTTAAAATGCCAAGAAATTGTACTCTGCTTACTTGGGTAGTAACCAAAAATTGTTTTGATCCATCAATCTAAGTCAAGAATACAAAAAGGCAGTAATTTATAGCAGAATCAGCAGATTGGCTAGGAGTCTCATTTTAAAAAGTATCAGAAGAGAAACAGAATTTCAGATTCTGATTTAATACTATTGGTAACAACACTTCCTCAATGTTTAATAAAGTTAACCTGTTATATTAAAAGTCAGCATGTGAAAGGAGATTTTATGGGTATTATAGGCATTATATTTAATTTTTTCAGGGACTACAGGGGCAATCCTGAAGCATAAATTTCCAGTAAATGGATAAGTTTGCTTAAATATTGGAGGTCAAACATCAGTCCAGGAGAAAAAAGTATGGATATTTGTAATAAGGGAGTATATGTTTTTCCAAAAGAGGAACAATTTTTCCTACATGCCTATATAGTTAACCTATTTTAGGACTTTTAAAGTATCTTGAACTAACCAGAGAAGCTGGTGCTACTACATTTGTGGGCTCATTTTGGATGTATTTTTCTGTAATATTTACTTTATGCAATTTATAAAACTTTCTAATAGGTGTGCTTTTTAGTGTGCAACTTTCTCCACTATTTTTAAATAAAGCTTTCTCAAATACATGTTAGCTTAAGTGAAGTTTCCTTGCTCCATATGATGAATATAAACTTATGCATTTGTTACTGCTGTCCATGCTGCAATGGAATTTGTTTTGGCAGATAACAACTTTTTGAAATAAAATAAATCCCTAACACATTTCTTTTATATTCATATCTGAGAATTATGGAAGGATAATTCAGATAAACATCTCAGAATCTTACTGGAAAATGGAATTAATAAAATCCCCTTACAAAATGGTAGGTACGGTAAATACAATTAACTAAGATTTAATGATAGAGAGAATTTGGTGGTCAGAAAGAATGCATTTTACATCTTCCAGGAGAGAGTTGGCATGTTTTTAGTTATATGGCAAAATTCATGTGGTTTCCAATCCAAAGGTATTCATTTCTATAGTTACAAATCCTTCTGTGTCTGCTTACTTAAGTAGCCAGAGGAATTCATATTGCTGAGAGTTATGTTCAATGTAATTGAACAGAAAAATCAATGGATATACATGTATAAGTTACAAGCAGCTAATAATAGATGCAATACTACTTTAAGATGTTTCATAGTTTTCTTCAATTAGTTTGTCTACCAGCAATTGCGCCTATAAACATTTTAGAGGAAATGGCTTCATATATTATACAGTATATATAATTGCAAGCATATAGACATAGCATATAGTTAAGATGTCTGAAAGGCGCCTTCCAGGACATGGAAAGCTCATGGAAACAGAACTCTGTTAGAGCTGAAAAACATAAGGTCAAAGCAGGAGCTGGTTTAAACATTTCATTTCCCAACTACTCAATGAAGTGAATGAGGGAAGAATAAGATTTATGTATAATATTTGTGACATGATTAGAAAGTTTTGCAACTCACATGCTTGGATTTGCATTTCTACATCAAGTTGGGGGACAAAAGAAATGCAAGCAAACAAGAAATGTTTGGAAGAAATGGAAAAGGGCAGGTGACAAATAAGAAATCCAAGAATATATTTTATGAGAAAGGAATCTGATTAAATTGTCTTAAGATAGGCAATGATTTCACATAGTATATCTGTGTTTGCATAACTTTGTTTTGTTTTGTTTAATGACCTGATTTCATATGACATGTTAAAAAATATGGGTTATTTTACTAAAGATTAATGCAACTAGCTGAACCACAAAGAACTAGATTTCATTTGGATGTAGTCTAAATGTAATTCCAGCTAGAAAGTGTCAATAAATCACTTTAAGAAAATAAGTAAAGGCTTATATAAAAGGCTGAGAATCAAGGTCATTAAAGGCAATTTCTAATCTGGATGCATTGGTAAAAAATATTACAAAAGTAAAATATAGCATAAATCTGATTGAAGAAAAATCATGCCAAAGTTATATCCTTTTCCTCCTCATGTAGCTTCTGTTTGAAGACCTTCAGACAGATTTCACACCTCAGTCAAACAATTGATTCCATTCTCAATATACTCTGTACTATTAGACCATTTCTCTTAACATTCAGCTACTGTCTTGGAATTTAAGGTTTTGGGGTACCCTTCTGTTTTTCACAATAGTTGGCAAAATAATAGCGAGTGCCACACAAAGTGCACTAACCAAATAGGTGGTAAGACAATAGGGGAACTCAGGCACCACACAGGTTATGTAGAAAGTAAACACAGGGCCATTCATAAAGGACTCAAATGTCTATATACCAATGCACAGAGTATGAACAACAAACAGGGTGAACTAGAAATTCAGGTTAATGAGGGCAGATATGATATTGTTGCCATTACGGAAACATGGTGGGATGAAACCCATGAATGGAACACACAGCTAGAGGGATTTAAATTATTTAAAAGGAACAGACCAAATAAAAGAGGAGGTGGAGTTGCTCTCTATATAAGAAATAACAACATCTCTACAGAAATAGAGCACAACAATGATAAAAACTGTCTTGAATGCATTTGGGTCAATATAAAAGGGGGGGAAATGACATTGCCATAGGTGTATACTACAGGCCACCCAACCAAACAGAGGAAATAGATGAACTTTTTGCTAGTCAGCTAACTAAGGTATGTAGTAAGCACATCACAATAGTAATGGAGGACTTTAACTACCCTGACATCAACTGGGAGACAAACCCTACACCAAATGGAAAATCAAACAGGTTCCTGGCAAACCTAGCAGACAACTTTGTCTCCCAAAAAGTAGAGAAGGGAACTAGGGGATTAGCCATTTTGGATCTAATTCTCACTAACAGAGATGAAATGATAGAAGGTGTTGAAGCCATAGGAACCCTGGGAGGAAGTGATCATGCAATATTGGAATTCAACATTATGGAAGCACAAGCAATAGAA